AGTTTAATTAATACAAATCTTGTAATTGAGTTGTTCTGAAATTAATATCGACATTAGGGATGCCTGATTTAGCAGTGAACTGAGATCACAGGACCTCATTTCCAATTATGCTGTTGAGGGTTTTTTCCTGCTTGTGTCTATCTTGCAAGAGCATATGCTGGGTGCTTGACCATGTAAAAGGATGTGCTATTCCCAAGGTGTAATTAAAGGTATGTACAACTGGTGGGATCTGAGCCTAGAGCGGTAAACATAGCAGCTGGGATCTAGGAAGAATCTGAGGGCTTTGAATGGAAATCAGACTTGAACAAACCCTTGAGAATAACTGGTTTTGGACCATTTTTTTTGTAGATGAGAAAGGTGAAATTTGAGAAGGGGAATACAAGCACAGGATCCCAACTTGATCCCACAAAACCTTATTGTTCATGGGAAAGGACACTAGAAAGAAGGAGCTGTTTGAAGTTCAATCATAAAATCATGATTTCCCAGGTGCCCATCAGCTTCCTTGTTAACTTACATGTCACCTTTTGTACTGCCCTCCCCATCTGGAATGACTGGGTAATGCAAGGCTTGTGCAGTGGTTGTTGCACACATCTGTTAAAAGGAGGAAGGGGGGAGAGAACAATATGGGATTCTACCCCCATTTTTAGAACCAATGAGACCTGTGGGACAGGGGCTGCACCAATAGGTGCTTCACTGTCTGCCCTTAGGGAAGGACAAGCAATGACCCTGTTTGGTGCTGTGTTAAGAGCCAGCAGTGGGACAAAGAGCACCAGACTGGGTTCAGTTCTTGGCACTGAGCTTGTTTATCTTGTTAGTCCTATCTCTCAGAGCATCATTCACTTTGTCCCCAGACACAAGGTCTGATGATAATTTCTGTAATTCTATTAGTGTGGAGGAAATAGGTTTTACTGTCCATTTGATTTTTTTTTTTTTCCAGAGAACTCAGCAGCTGCTTGGTCTTTTAGCTTAACCCTTTGTGTATACTTTTGGTTTTGCATTTCCAGGACATTAAGACTAAATGTTTTCCCTTTCTGTCTCCTTGCTATAAGCAGCATTATAACTGAGAATTTTGTTTGTTCTTTTAAATCCCAACTAGAAGTGAGCTAAAGCTTCAAAGATCAAACCATAATTGGTGTTCCTCAAAAGTCAATGTTTAACCTCAATAATTTGGAAACACTGATCTGATTTGGAAACACTGATCACTGGTCACTGATCTGATCTGATTCCTCTTCACAGAGGAAGTGAAGAGCTATAGCATCAAGAGATAAAGATATTTTAGCTTAATTTGCCCAGTTACTGAAATTGTCAGTGGTGTTTGTATGGCACAGATACCTTGTTTCTAACATCCTGTGCTGTATCTCCTGGTGAAATCAGCTCAGAATTGTGGTAGAATTATTTTTATGGCTGGGGAGGGTGATGTGATGAGAACACGTCACCATGACTGCATTGCAGAACTACACAGAAGAAGAATTTGTATGGGTAGGGGGAAACTGCTCTACCCAGGAAGATCTGCAGTAAGAAACTATTCAGCCTTTGTTCTTTAATAAACATGCTGCTATTAGAAGGGTTTTGCTTTGTTAAGATTGGTTAAGATCAAATCTTAACTCAGGTGATGAAGAAAAGACCATTTTCCCACCTTTGGTCTGGGGTATTGATGCTCCCAGTTGTTCCCAGTTTGCTGTGTCTACAGGGCTGCAGAAAGAGTCCCCAGTAAACTCACTGAGTGCAGGTGGTGAGTGGTGGTGTTGGAATTTCTGCATGTTCTGATGGAAGGCACGATTGGTATAGGATTAAAGAGTTTTGTAATGGTAGGGAATGGAGAGAAACCAAACAGAGGTTTTTCCTCTGGTAGGGAAGCACACTATCATTGAAAAAACAATTTTAGTGTAAAATACATTTTGAGTGTCCACTTTTTTTTTTTTTTTTTTTTTTTTTTTTTTTTTTTTTTTTTTTTTTTTTTTTTTTTTTTTTTTTAATGGAAAGCATTATGGTAAAATCCCTGAAAAGTAGAAATGTTGAAGTTTATTTTGTTCAGTGAACTGGGACATTATCATATTCATATTTGCCTGCAAGAAGACATTTTTAATATTTCCTTTTCTCCAGTATCTTAGTTTTAAAATCTTACCAAAAAATAAAAGCAGAAAACCCTGTAATTCTTTGGCAAGTTAAACTGGGAGCAGTTCTTTCTATTACATAGGTGATGCTGCCGAGGGTTAGGCAAAAATGGGATTTGCCAATTGGAAAATGCAGTTTTAGGAGGTCAGATTTTTTAGAATTTTAGGACTTTGGGTAAAATTTTTCATTCTGAAGTTTGATGTGGATTAAATTATGTCTGGAAATGCTAAAGATACAGAGGTGGTTCCCAAGAACATAAGTGGGAAAGAGTATATTTTTCACTCATGATTAAAAAGGAGTAAAATGGCCACAGTGTATGAAAAGCACCAGTGCCCAACATTTCCTGGATGAGGAGCTCTGGTCCTGCAGGGATCTCCCTGGGGCCAGCAGTGTGCCTCTTGAAAGCTTTTTCTGGGTTTGTCAAGTCTGAGGACTTCATCTGCCTGGACTCTGCAATAGCTGCTAACTGAGCTGCCAAATCCTTTCTAAAACTTTTGTCCATGATGAGGATAATGCAGCTGGAAGGCTGCAGTTACAGAGCCAAGCATTATCAGTCTTCACTGCTCATAGAGATAAGGCCAGTTCTGAGATGGGAGCACCTGGGGCCTCATTTCAGATGCAGTGAGGCAGTGAGGGGGAGGATAAGAGGGAGACGAGTAGGAAAGTAATGAGGCTAAGAGTGGGACAGAGCCCAAAGTGCTGTTGATGCTGGGTGAAAACAATAGAAAGGGGTCTGTGCTCTGCACATGGGGCTGCAGCTGCTTTGCTGCATCCATAGCTGCTTGGCTGGGTGAGTCTCTCTCCCTCCTGCCCTGAAGGAGTGTGCAGCAGCTCTTTAGCATTTAAGTCTGCACGGCTTCTTTCAGATTCCCTGTTCAGCATTATTTTGATATTTTAAGGGCCTTCACCTTTACACTGCCTGCACAGTGCTGGCAGCTTCCCTGGCTTCTCTGTGCCTTCTCTGTAAGCAGAAAACGCTGTTCAGCAGCTGGGGCAGTGTGTGCACCTGTGGTTGGGATGTAATCTAGACTACAGCAGCATCTCCTTGCTTGGGGAAGGCAGCCCTCTTCTCTCAGGGCTGTTCATGCCCCATCTCACCTCACAGCTGTTGTTATTGTTACAGGTGCCTGCAGAGAAGAATCTCTATTCTCTAGGTCTGAAAAGGAGAAGGAAACATTTGAGGTGGGGAATTTTGAGCCTGTTTGACCCATTTAAACTTTACACCACCCACAGGTCACCATGAGAGATGGCCAGGGGTCTGCCCCCTCTGTGAGGGGAGGATATGGTGACCTCAGGGCATACCTGCATCACTAGGGCAGGCAGCCCTACAGTTATCCCTCACCTCCCTGCCCTGTCTGTGTCAGGTCCACAGTGCTTAGAGGAAGGGGAACGGAAGGGAGGGTGACAGTGTGAACCCTTCCTTCTTCTAAGGTGGCGTTGAAGACAGCCTCACCCACCCCACTTGTGATATTTTTCCCCATCTTCTCAGGCTGCCGGGCACCCAGCCCTGCTGAAGTGCTCAGCCCTGGGAGCCCTCCCAGGCCTCAGGGGTGGGGGCTGCCCCTGGTGCAGGGGGGTTGGGAGGGAGTGAATGCAGCCCTGCAGCTGCTCAGAGCAATTGTTTGGCACAGCTAAATCTATATCCTTATCTGAGGCTGCCTGGGAATGGCAATCTAGGCAAAAATGTAGCTTGGTCTTAATGAAGGCAAGTAGGGCTAGAACTGTCTTCAGCTGTGGCTTGTTGAAGAACACAGGTTTAGGTGTCAACTAATCCCCTTGGGACAGGTGAGCCTCAAATCCCCTTCACAAGTAATAGTGGATATCATGTTTGTTCACCAGGCATTAGCTGTACTTACCAATGGTGATACAATTGTTGTGTGTCCTCACAGCACCCCAAAAAAAACCCTGAGATTGGTTTAACTTGAAAAGTGACAGGAGCCCACTTCTCTTTTTGCAGGTTACCTGGAACAAACTGTGGTGGGATTGTCCTGTGATGGGGGTCTAGGTCTAGTCCTTTGCCAAAAACTTTAAGACTCTATGTGCTTCCCTAGCTGGTTTAGTTATACTTAAATCCAGATTAAAATCTCTCTAGAAAACATGCAGGCCTATGTGTGCTCACATGTCCTCTCATTCTTGCTGCTTTTCACCATTGCTTTCCTGTGCTTGTGGCCTTAGACTCATTAAAGTGTGTTTGTGCCCCAGATACATGAGCTGTTAAACTTGCAGGAAATTTGAGGATTAAATTTATATAAAGGAAAATTTTATGTTTTATTTATATTTCATCATCAAACAGAGTATTATATACATGTTTATCATACATTAATTTGGCCTTTGCTGATCCACTGGCTACCAGAGAAGGCAAGGTGAGAAACCTTTCAGTGGTTACCTCGAAAGTGTTTCTGGTTTTCAATTCAGATATATCAAACCTACTTGCAAAGCTCTTTATAAATCAGACACAAATAATTTAGATGCATTTGAAGGAAGTAAATTTCACAGCAGTACCTTCTTTGCTTCTTTGTAATAGGGATATTGCAGTATTCTAAGGAAAGAAAATATCCTTCCTAAGACAATATATTTAAAATGAATAAGAATACGATTATGATGATGATGCCAGGATGACATCTTGTACAGTAAAAATCTTTCACTGTAATGTTCAGCAAGATATCACCAGAAGTACTGGACTCACTAAAAAAAACCCAAACAAACCAGTTTTCTCTTTGTTTTGCTTTTTTTCCTATCCCAGTAAGTCAAGTTCTACTTTCCTTTTCTCTACTCTAAGGGATGTAAGTGCAACTCACTTGGCACCTCCGTGGAGTTAACAAAGGGGAACTGAGAGCAGAATGAGACCAAACGTCTGCGTAAGTATTGACAATTTTAAATAATAACTAAGGGTTTATGGCAGCAGTGTGGTTTTGAAAAAGTGGTTGCAGAAATAATCCAACAGTCCCTAGGACACAAACAAGGACAAATATCCAGAGAAACAGCCTGTCCACTACCATGGCAACATACTTCCAATCTTCAATGACCTGGAAGAAAAAGCCAATTAAAGATATTAGTAATTTGTCATATTATTTTGGTCTTCCTCTTGCTAATGCTGAGGTTTTTCTAATCAAAATAAAAGGGAACTGATCTCAAAGTTCAAGGAATAAACTGGCTTTAGACTTGGTAAGGGATTTTTCTCCTACAACCTGTCTGAGCAGTGAAGAAAAATACAGTAAATATTTCTTAGCTTTCTTAGATACATCAGATACTAAGTGTGGCTGCCTGGTGTGGTGCAGCCCTGAAGGACCCACACTATAATCCAATTAAGGAATTTTTTTCTTCAATTTTAGTTTGTAAATTCTATTAATCTCAGTGGGCAAAAATAGATGGTATTTATTGTTGTTAAACAAGGTTAGCTTCAGAATTCTTTTCTTATTAGCAGTCATCTTATTCATGGGGTTTAATGCATGTTAATATTGTTGCTTTTATTAAAACCCTTTTTGTCCTGCATGTGTTTTCTGTGAATGTCATGGCCTTAGATTCTGTCTCAGCTTGAAATGACCAACTGGGCTATTATTTTAAAGGGGAAATATATCAATCTTCATTTGCATCTGAGGAATAATTTTTCCTCTCTCATTGATTCTCGTTACACAGGGGATGTCTTCACATCAGTGACTTTATCATCCTTGTCAGTTGAATCATGTCTGATGTTAGACCATTACATATTTTTCCTTCGGTGCACACTTTCAACTCCCACTGTTGCTAATGGGAATTGAATGCTTCTGCAGTCAGACCATGTAAATGTACATGAACAGTTGTTATCAGACCGTTGTGATGAGGAAAGGAAGCAAAGAATAAAGTTATGAATCTAGAAAAATTACATGTAATATCAGAGTGATATTTCCACTATGTGAAAAGCAGTAAGTGGATTTTCAATATATAAAATGCTCTTGAAAATTGTTCTTACTATCAAGTGAAAGCTTTGTAGATCCTTTAGTGTGCAACACATCCTTGCAAGAATTTCTGAGCAATTAGAAAACCTTTTCCTGCACTATGAAGTCAGCTTCTGTTAAGTCAGTTTCAATGTTTACAAGCTCATGTCTAATGTTAATAGCTGAACTTCTTTATTTACATTGACAGTAATTTCAGTTAATAGAAAACATGAACTACTCAGCAGCATGCTTCTCTAGGGACTGCTGCAAGATCAGAAACCAGACTTTATTTAATCTGCTTGGCTGAGGGAGGAGAAGCACAACAGGAATAGAGAACCTGGAGTCTCACTGTGGTCTGGATTAGAGAGAAGACAATGGTAGGTCTAAAAAACTTGTCTAAAAAAAAACCCTGTGACCCACCTGAATTTCCCAAGAATTATTCACAGTGCTTCTATCAGCTCTGTTGTGCTAGTTGGTGGCCTGTGAGTAGGGCTATGGGAATAGAGCAGCAGCACAGCTTAAATAAAGTATTTCTCCTAAGCAGTGATGAGTCTGGTATATATATAAATAATGAAAGAAGTGTCACCTCTGCTGAGGTTTTTAATCCTACCCACGATGGTTGCAATATACAGACAGCTGTCTTAGTCTAGAGAGGGTGTTTGCAAAGGGCTTCTACCAATTTTGCTAAATCCTCCTGCTGTGCTTGGTCAGGTAAATGAGCATGAGCTGCAGGTACGTTGTTTCTGATGAACTTGGCCTGGCCATGGATTGAATCACAGTCTTACTGATTCATTGTGCTGAAAAATATTCTATTTCTAACCTAGAACTGAATATTGTTTTCTTCCCCTGCCAATCACCATTTGAATGTGACAACAAAGTTTTTTAAGTGTGTTTCATAACTTACTGGGCAATCAGCAAACTCCTTTTGTAGAAGTAGCCATGTTATTTATCAGGAGAGTATTTGCAGTTATCAAATTGCTGTTCATTAATGGCATAAATTATTTCCTTTTACGTGCTATATCTAGAATCTCTCTCAAATCTTGACAATAGCTAGAGTTCAAATATGCTTTCTGAGGAATAGCATGTTACCAAGGACAGAAGATGAAGTTTGGAAGGACAGGGATGTCTCATTTTTACTTACACTCTGGTCGTTGTCATCACTTTTCATGTGCTCTGCTATAAAACTGACTCCATCAATTGCTTCTTGCACTTCAGGAGAAAATTTCGCACCTGTTCTTAACCTAAAATCTCGATGACTGCTGACATTGTCAGGTGTCTCAGAGACTTTCATATCATATCTTTTGGCAGAAGCTGTATTCAAAAAATAAGTAGAGTTCTTGTAGAAGTCAGATGGCTCCATACAAGGATTCTCTGCTTTTGTCTTTTTGCATTTGCATGGCTTTTGCCGTGGAGAATTATTTTCTGGGCGCTTCATGAACAGATAGGCTGGGAGTCTTTCAAGGAAAACCAGCTTTACCCAGGGGGGCATAGTGTGAGTACTTGGAGATCTGTGGTGGACATTGAGCACACAGACACTGGTAACTATTGAGAAGGTCACCAGAACCATTGTAAACATGAGATACTTCCCAATCAGTGGAACATCTAGAGATGTTGGAGGGACAATTTTGGAGATCAGCAGCAAGAACACAGTCAAGGCAAGCAACACAGATATGCATAAAGTCATTTTTTCACCACAGTCTGAAGGCAAGTAGAATACTAGGATGGCTAAGGATGTAATTAGCACACAGGGAATTATAAGATTGATGGTATAAAAAAGTGGTTTCCTTTTAATAATGAAGTCATAAGTCACATCAACATAATTGGGGTCCAGAGGGTTTACAGTCCTTCTTCCTGGGAGTGCTACAATGTCCCACTCTCCACTTGGTGTGAAGTCATCCATGCTCGCCATGGAAGTCTTAAGCACCATATCAATTTCTGTGTGGTCGTATGTCCAGGACCGGAACTTGAGGGTGCAGTTTTGCTGGTCAAATGGGAAATGCTTCACCTCAATCTTGCAGGCACTTTTGTAAATGGCTGGTGGCAACCAGAGGATGCTTCCATTGTTCTTTACAATAGCATTTGTGTACAGCGAGACCTCATACGTGCCGTCCGCACTAATGAGAGAAGAGAAAGGGGAGGAAATGATAAAATATTAGAAGGAAAAATAAAGATCAAAACAGAAAAGGTCTGACATTCTTGATCTTGTGGGCCCAAGTTGTTCTGAGACTGAAAGTTTAGTAATACTATTATTCTGAAATCTGTGCTGTAGGGAGCTATAAAAAAATTTGATAGGGAGATCAATGTATGCATTTCTCCCAGTCAAAGAGCTGATTTTTGGTCCAATACTTACAGGAAAAAAAGTTTTAAAATTATTATTCAATACCAAATACACACCTCTGTTTCATTCAAAGAAATAAATGTATTTTGTAAATGTTTGCTCAAGTAATTAAAGCTTCCTATATCTCTGAAGGCTAAGCAAAAATGAGACCATCCTATGTGAAAACTGAGGTACCTTTGATCTGGAACATAGCCACTGCTAAGAACACAGAGTAAAATACTCCTACAGAGTAACACACTCCTAAATAACTTGGACAGGGAAATAAGGATAAGCGGCATTAGTTAGAAATGCAGGGAAAGTGTGGGCAGAGGAAATATAATTATATGGCTTATAATTTATTGCATCACTCCAGTTAATGTTTACTTATTACAAAACCAGAGCAGACAAGCCACGGTGTTCTTAGCGCCCACAAACAATCTTGGCTTTGTATCTCTTCCAACTGCTGAACTTCCACCAGGGGACTCTTCTATGTTCTGTATGTTCTGATGGTCCCTTTACCTTAGGGAAACGATGATTATCAGTCCGTAGTGTCTTCTCTGGCTCAATAGTCTGGGCCAACAAGGTAGGGCTGTTTAAGCCATTAAGTATCCCAAAGTAGTGTTTGTTGACAAGGCATCATGGAAAATAGTTACTTCAGTGCTAAGGGTGATTTTTTTTTTTTTTTTCCTAAGCAGGGAAGCGCTACAAGTATCTAAGGCTTGGCACATGTATCTGAATCAGTTATATTTGACCTGGGGGAGGCAATGAGTGCCTGGCACTGAGCTGAGACGTTTGCAGCTAATTCATGCAGACAGTGAAACAACCAGATGTGGGAGTGAGTGGCTACAGCCACTAATAGGGGTTGCTAGTTCATTGCCAATAAAACAGCTCTCTTTTGAAAAATGAATAGTATATTAGTTCTGACATATCTGTACTCCCCGAGTTAGCTTTGCCATCGTGCCATGCCATATGCTGGGCAGAATCCTGGGGCAGGAGTATGTGAGTTCTGGTGCTGACTGTGCTGTCTCAGTGGTGAGAAGAGGCTGGGCTGCACTCTCAGAGCCCTCTGCACAGGCCACAGACAGAGCTGTGGGCATGGGGACATGCTTTGTGTTTTCCTGAGCACCTCAAACTGACTGATGCCTGTGAAACTCTGCTCCAGCAGCAGGAGGTTACATGGAGCTGTCCTTCAGCTAAAATTTAATTAAAGCTTTGTACTAATGTAGAAATCCAATAGAGTGAGGCTTGTTCCTGTGCATTTAAGAAACCTTTTGCAATGATTCCTTTCTATTTTTGCAAACTATTAAATGGTATTGCTTGGCCAGTAGCAAAAAGAAGCAGAGGGCAGAGGCACAATTTACCAGAACAAGCTTTGAGCAGGCAAAGTACATCCTAATCCACTGGCTGAATTATTTTGTGACTAATACATTAGATTTAAGTGTTCATCAAATCTGGTTTCCAGTAGTAGGATTCCAAAGACTTAACTCAGTTAAATATAAACTTCCTGGGGTTTCCATCTGTATATGTTCATAAATCATGTGTTCATGAATTCATTGGTTTTCAAAGTATCATAAAAGTATAATTTTGATTATTATAAAAAAAAGTTTATCATCCACTTCAAGGTTTTGCTTGAGACTTAAACCAAAGCAAAACAAAATTGTCTATTAGGCGTTTGTTTGAAAGAGGAACTGAAGTATATTTTACTCAGTACTATAAAGCAACAGGGTCAAATGTTGACAGATTTACTATGTATTAATAGAAATTTTTTTAATGCTTTATGAAAATTGAATATAATTTGGCTTTCTACATGAATGAACTGGAGTTATGGAATGTGTGAACATTGTAATAGATTTGTGTCCTGGGATCTGTGCTAGAAGAAGGAGTGGGGGAAGAAGGAGACAAAACTGTATCTCAGCCCCTAAGATGTCTGATAGGACTCCAGATGTTTTCTTGCAACTCCAATTATACCTACAATTTATTCTTTCCATACAGTCTATTTGCATATAAATCTGTCTCAGTTGTGAGCCTTGTCATGGATCCTCTGTTGTAATTGCTCACGCTACAGACATCTTCCAGCTCTGCTGGAATTTCTTTAACCAGAGAACCGATGTTCCTAAAATTATCTTTGAGCCCAGCAGGCCAGTCAGATACACTTGCTACTCTCTAAAAGTGACAAAATTCAGTTTTAAAATTTTACCAGACCTACTTCATTGTTTCTGATGTTTGTTCCTTGGTTAAAATTTTGTTCATTGTCTGTGTAAACTACACGAGTTTTACTTACTTATTGTAAAGCACAATGTCTGGCAACCAGATGTGTTTTGCAGGTATTCTCAGCTTATTTATTCCTTCATAGTCAGAGGGCTTCCAAGCCAGCCGATAATCAATCCACTCCTAAGAGAAGAATTGTACAGTAGTGATGGGAGTGTCCAGACCAGCACTAACAGAACAATTGTGTGATGGAGTGAAAGCAGTTTTATTTGTGGTTTGCAAGAGCCATTTCTCTGTAGGTTTGTTACCTGGTTTAGCCAGACGTTTGTAGTCATGATCTGCTCCCGTTCATTCTGCAGAGAAAAAACAGAGACAAAAACTGGCCTCTAAAATGTTTCACTTTATTGCAGTAATAAGATTTATTCAGTTGGTTTTTGAGCATAGTTTTGTCTAGTGTATTTCAAGACAGATATTTCTCTGAGGTATGATAGCCAGTCTTGTACACATACTGATGATAAATAATAACCCTATAAATGTAGAATTCCAAATGCCCTTTAACAAGAACGGTTATGGCAGGAGTGAGTGTAGTTATTTGGAAAGAATGACCACCACCTCACTAAGCTGGTTTCCTCCCCGACCCCACCCCACTTATCCACCTTTGATTTGAAACAGGAGGAACAGCTGACCATCAGGGAGGCCTACATGAGGTTGTGTGAGGTTGGTGTAAGGTTTGCCATGTAATCTCTCAGCTGGCAGGCTCTGTTTTATGAACTGCTGTCTCTGGACAGCAGTCCAGAAGAGAAACCTCTCTGTAGAACATCTGTCAGGAGGATTTCTGCAGGAGAATGAGTTAATTCTCTGATCCTGAAGATTGTTGGAGCCTACAAGATGCCTAATTTTGTTCTGCTCGAAGTGTAAGGCTATAGAGGGATAGGGACTGAGCTGTGCTGGTCTTGGTCTTTGCCTATTCATCCACCTTGCTTAGGCTGTTGATCATCACAACCTCTGGAGAAAGACACCTCCCGTTTTATGCTCAGTATCTGCAGTCTGAGGGGACACTGTGCTCATGGTGGTAGTGCAGGATGTAAGGATGCATGTCTGTGTCCTGATGGAGTTCCCCAGGAGAGAGAGCACTTAACTAGAATTATCTGGTATACATGTCATTGAATCCTGTGTGTATATGTATATACATCTCTGTGTATCTAGATATATTATATCCAGTTGCATGGGTGTATGAAGTCTCAGATGTTTGTCATTTCCCTTATGTTCCAACAGTCTTTCTCATTTCATCTTGAATTTCAGAATATAAATTTTTTATGTCTCTAAAAGTTTACAGCAGTACAGGCACTAGCCCTTACACAAATTCTGACAGGGAGGCAGTCATCTATATCTTCTCTGTCATCCAGGGAGAGCAGCAGAATTGAAAGCCCCAGTTCAGGAAATTATTCCCACTTATATACTGGTTCTCATTCCCACTGCAGTTACTGTTAACCTCTCTTAGTAAAGATGTGTTTATACCTTGGAATAACTGTCAACCACATACTAACCTTGTGGATGAGAGTGTCTTTTAGACCCACCGAAGTTGCTTTCATGAGGATTGTTTTACCCATGTTAAGCTATTCCAGCCAGAACTAATGTGTGTTTTTCTTTCAACATTCCAGTGTTCTTTATTAATATGCCTGATATGTCTTGTGATTTGGATGTGGCTTTGTAGCTTTTTTTCAGGCCATTGAAGCACTTCAGTAGAAGATGGATTACCGTTCCACTGATAGTGGATGGTGTGCACATTGCTGCTGTGCACTGTCCAGGATAGGTCCTGACCTGGGGTAACTTACAGTAGCTGTACTGAAATCAGTGGAATGATTTTGAATTTTAGATAGATGGAATTGTATTGAATGAAGATCTGGGCCTCATCCTTCAGTGCCTAGGCATAGACTGATTTCTCCATTGTAGCTCCATTGTGAGGTATAAAACCAGTAAATTGTGTGCATGGGCTCTGCCTATTAATAGTGTTACACAAATTAGAAGAGAGCAGAGATGTAGCAATACCAGCATAACTATTAATTAGTGCTGTGCAGGTAGTATTGAATGCAAAGGCATAGCCTAATTTGAACTTACCACACTGATGAGCTGTGCCAGGGAAACCTGCAGTTCTATGGATACCAACTGGGAGGAGTTGACAGCTGGCCGAATTAACTTATTGTATCTGTCAGGACTCAGAAGGTGGTTCATTAGTTTTTCTTCAGCATCCGCTGCCATGCTTCCTGTAAAGCATCACAAAACAGGATTATGGAAGGGAGACTAAAGTGACATGATGTAGGGCTCACAGAATATCTGTGCATCAGATCATCTTTAGGAAATAATGACACCTTTTGATTTTCTAAAGACAGGAGGATACGGTGCTTGCACTGGTATCTGTTCTGCTGAAGTTTACTGTCTTTCACAGAGCACAGATCAAAGGAGATCTTTCAGGTTTTTTTGCAATAAAATGTGAAACTCAAATTGGCAGATACTTTTGGGATTACACTCAGAAATAGAAACTGGGAGCAAACCATCCTCTTAATAGCAGAGGAAGAATTATTCTATGATGCAAAGGGAGGGGTCCATCTGTGACTTCTCTCTTTAGTGCAGTAACAAACAGAATTGCAGGTACACATACAAATGTAAAGACTGCTTTATGTAAAGAAAACCAGGGGATAAGCTTTAGGAGCCATAAAGGGTTTTTTAATGACTGGGGACTCTCTGGTAGTTAGTGATGTTTCTGTTTCAAAATTTGAAAACCCAAGGCAATATGTTAGACTTACTTTATGTGGAAGTAAAACCTGATTTGTGGACTAGCACAAATATGGTAAACCTTTGCTGAAGCTGGAGTCCAGTGACTACAAAATACAGTATCTACAGATTACTATCAAACAAGCCTGAACATTCCCTGTGGAGCAGAGCAGCTTCTGGCACAACCCCAGGGTCGTTTATTCTGTTCTCATGTTCTTTGTGTGCTTTTTAAAGTCACACCAGTGCATTTTCAAACCACTGTTGACCACCTGACCATACTGATGAGCTAAGTCCTGGTAACATCCTGCCAACAAAACTGAGCCAGAGACATTGTGCTCCATGTTGGGCAGGTCTGTGTTGTGATGCTGATGAAATGACTGTGTTAGTGAAGGCAAGTTCCAATACAATGGGTAGAATACCTATTCCATAGAAAAGGTCACCTAATTCAGCTCACCTAATTCACCTCTAGACATTGCAAAAATTAGGGTAGTATCCTTACAGCATACATGCTTTGCTATTTCCCAGAGCAATTTCACACAGTAAAAACACTGACCATGCAGTATTTTAAATCTGTGGAACATTAATTTGCTATGGGGTTTTTTTATGTTGTAGCATATCCATGAAATCTGGGGAAAAGCAGACATCAAAAACCAGTATCAAATAAGCAGCCAAAGTTTGTCTGCATGTCTAGAAGGCACCACATTTCCTTGTGAACTGGGCTGCAAGTTGATAGGCTGAACAAGTCTTTCTTTAAACTTGAAATTCTTCTGAATCCAACTGAGGTTAAAAAAATACCCTAAGACGCCTTCTTGTTTCTGATCCAGCAAGAAAGTGGAGTGAGGTAAAAAGAAAGATTATCAGAGATTTCACATCTAAGAACAACTTTTACTCAAGCTCTGTGGAAAGGTTGAGGTAAGCACCAGGCTTGATTTAATTCTTTTAAGACCAGCATGGGCTGTGGCCTGGTAGCCCAAATTTTTCACCTATACTTAACTAAAACATGGTTCTTCAGAATAGGTTTTTAAATACTTTCCAGGGCATTTGGGAAAACAAATTTGGATGAATGTATCTGTGTTTGGGTCAGTTTGTTTTTTGATTTGCACTTGCTTTGTACCTCCCTGCAAGTCATTATAAAAGCCCTATACCACATGATCTTTTAATATGACATTTGTTCTCAATGCAAGGTGCCAAATCAAAAGCTTATCAAGAGTTAGAGCTATGATGAGTTTTGCTAAGCTTCAGATTCTGGTGTGGTTTTCTTGTGTATAGCAATCAAGGAAAAGCTAAATTTGATACTGTGAAGAAAAGAGGGCCGTGTTCTAGGAGTTAATATTCTTGTGGTTATAAGGATAGAAGTCCTGTGGTAGTTTAAAAGAGAAGGTTTTTTTTATTGTGTTCTTTGGTGGAGTTTTATGTTGGGTTTGTTTATAGTAGATTTTTTTTGGTAGACATTCCCACTGTTGCATATGTAAGTGATGTAAACATATGGCTATAATTAAAATATAAATAAATCCTCAGTTGATTTGTTTCATTCAGTGGTCACTGAATTCTGTTAGCAAAGATGTGAGTTCTTGGTTGAATTGTTAACTCTGTTTTGACTGCAATGCTGCCTTTGTCTGTGAATATTCCTGCACAGAGAGTATTTGCTGAACAGGGAGTAAGGAGCAGGAACTGTAGAATATTTGCAGAAAGCTAATTCTGGATATGTAATTAGTTTTTACTCTGAAACCTGCTTTTAGCAATCACAGTCACCTGGTCTGCAAATCCAAACATGGTGTGGGGTCTGCATGTCTGATGAGAACAGCTCAGATTTCCAAATACTGAGTGTTAATAAACTTTGTGGATTAATGACAAACCATGACTTCAATAATAAAAAATATTTATTCAACAATTAATCCCTTTGAGAAATTATTACCTGTTCTTAGTGAAGGCATTCCTTCACTAGGGATAATCCTTTATAAAATTCCAGCCTTCGTAACTTTGTAATCAGAAATAAAGGGGCTGCTCTGACCTGTATCATACACCACTAGATGTCAGCCCAGCACTGCCTTAAAGCTTGTTAAAACCAATCTCTGTAAATACCGGCGAAAAATGAGTGTTTCTTGTTTAATTTTTACAGTCTACTTTCCATTAACAATCTATATATAAACCAGATGGCAATTAATGAGAACAAAATTACCAGGCATCGAGTTTCATCTTTATGTGCATTGTGTGACAATAGCCAGGCCTTTGAAATGTCTCTTTTTGCTCTCAGGGTTGGAAGAAATGGAAGTGCAGTTTCCCCCACAAACTGGTTTTTTTTTTTTTCCAAATAGCAGTAATCACCAGAGATGTTGCAGATGGTAGATTGATGCTTTTAGACAAATTATTTTAACAACAATGATCAAGCAGTCCTAATTTGAGAGTGGAATATCTTTGTGTACTGAAAGCAGTAATAAATAAAGCCCACTGGGGTGGATCCTGAGCTGGGGAAATTATTTTAGCTTCACTGAACATGCTACACATCTGCTCTGTGACAAGGAGAGCAATCACCACATTCCTCAGCAAGTTTGTTTTCTCTGTGGGACTATGAGCATTAAAAAAAATTGCACCAAGCAGCTTCCAATTTCACAGCAGAAGAAACTAAACTACAGACTTCATTCACTCTGCTGTGGAGAGTTTCCTTTATGCATAGTCTAATTTAAATACATAAAATGAAATAACTAGACATCCTGTGCTATGCTGTTTGATTTCAGTGTAATAACAAATTCGTTGGAGTGATTTCCACAGAAAAGAATAAGGACCAATGCTGAGAGATACAGGCACATTCACTGTTGTTACTGTCTACATTTCAAAATGTAACATAAGACATATTTCTAATGTTTCTCTGAACTCAGCTCTCATAATAAATATTGAAATGATATTTGTTTAGAAGTAGCACTGTAGCATGTGTTACCATTTTAATCCATTACTCTCTCACAATAAATGACATACCAAATTCCCCTCTGTAATTAGTAGAGAGCAAGTAAGAAGCAGCAATGAAGCAGTCCCATTATCTTCTCTCAAATTACTTCATGATGTTGTTACTTCCCAACATACTCTCAAGCAAAAAGATTTTCATAACTTCTTAGAAGAACACATGCTGATTTGGAATGTTTTTGTTCCAATGGAAGTAGCAGTGAATTTACTGCATTTGAAAGATTTTTAATTTTTACACTGCAGTTAATTCCAAAGAAAAAGGAAATACTCAGTTGTTTAGAAGTGTATAACTTAAAAATCTAAAGTGGGCCCTCACTCTCCTTTTGTTACAAAGTAGATGTTTTCTGAAGTTGCCTTTCAGAGATGGAAGAAATAAAACAAGTGTGGAATGAATATACAAAAATGGGAAGTGTGTGATCTGATGATCTTGGTTTCATTTCAGGCAGTTTCTCCCAGAGCACTTCCAAGGAGCCTCTCCATGGGAAGATGCTCCCATGCTAAATGCCCTATTTCATGCTGCTAGCAGGCTGTTGTGCTGGCTAAAACATATTCAAGAAATCCTGACAGACTGAGGGAAACATTCTTGTGTAAAAGGCATATATGGGTTTTGTAGCCTATATTTACATATGATAACTTAATTTAAACTGCTTCCATTCTAATTTAAAAAACTAGAAAGTATGAACTTTGCAAAATATAGGAACTTGAGAAAATAATGGTAGAAGGATGAGATCTGTCATATTTATGGATCATATCATGGTTCATTTTTTTCTCCTTCAGCACAATGTGCTTTTCCTATCACAGATGATCCTGGGAGCATCTAAAGGGATGTTATTTAGTCATTATCATTGTCATGTCATACAGTTATGTAATTTTATATCCATACCCTGTCTGTCCATATTCGTCGTAGTGCATGTGCTGATACCAAACAAGCCCAAAACAACACTAAAATAATTTTATACATCCTCTTAAAGTCAGCAATCTCCCAAGGTGATGGTTACAAATTGTCTGTGAGCTCATGTCACTGCCCTACCTCTTACCCCCAAAAGCTCCCACTGTTCTGAAGCTGTAGGAGAAAGAAAAGGTCACTCACCGTTCAGACAGAAGGAGCCCACCACAAAGAGAACGAGGGTGTACATTTTCCTCATGGCAGTAAGAAGATGTGGATTACTGTTCTTCAGCTTAGACAGCTGGCAATAGGCTCTGTTGGCAGGCATGCACAGGGAAGAGATGTAAAAGCAAACCTGAATCTTGGAGGTATGAAATGCCTGGAAAGAAACAGACAGTAGGACCTGACAGAAGCGGTCTGCAAAGTGCAATTTTCGTGAGCATAGTGGTCCCTCCCCCTTTGCAGCTGTTTAAAGAGCTTTGTGAAGAGGAAAAGCAAATAAGAAGAGTGAACATAATGTGATAATGTTGAAAAAGAGGAAATGAAAGAGCGAGCTAAGGGAGATGATGTGCAAAACACAATAGCTTAATTCTTGCTACTAGATGACATTTAAAAGGCTTTCTGATTAATGAGTGCAGTGGGTAAGAATAGCTGTGTGAGAATAACTGGTTAAACTTTGTGCCATAAAACCTCCTAGTGTCGATAAATTATAGCCCCAGCAGAGGGTTGTTTTCTGTGTCAAGAGAGAAAGTTTATTACCTACTGCCAACCCTTTTCCACTCCAAGGCCCACACATGTGATCTCTTTAAACTACAGCTCCAAAAACTTTTTGGGAGGACCAAGAGAGGAACAGAAAATTTGTTGTCATTAGCATCTGACAGGATTTTTAAAAGAAAGCCAGAGCAATCTGTGGTGAACTAGCAGTAGGGGTAAAGACACTCCAGAGGACCATGAAAGAAATTCTGTGGAGTGCATCTTTTAGAGCTAAAGGGTTTAGCAGACTATAGAGTGTCATGTGTTTTGGGACTTGCTATGGGAAGATTTGTGTAGAAGGAGGGGGCAAGAAGGTCTTATGTGCCCTTTGCAAGCCCTGTAGGAGAGGCTGAAGTCCATGGATATTAAAAAAAAAAAAAAAAAAAAAAAAATTCTCAGCAAACTGTTGCCTTATTTTAAACATACCAACATTAATGTGCTGGGTTTGCTGCAGATCTTAATTAGTAACTTGAGCCTGGTATCAGGGATCACCTGATACCAGCTGCAAGTTCCTGCCTGTTATTTTCATTTTTCTTTCTGCTTTCATCACTCCCTTTTCTCTCTTATTCACTATCCATTAGCTAGAATTGGTTTAAATTGGGACTGTTTAGCCTGGAGAAGGTTCTGGGAGACCTTAATGTGGTCTTTGTGTACTTAAAGGGTCTTATAAGAAAGATGAGGACAGATGTTTCAATAGGACAAGGGACAATGTTTTTAAACTAAAAGAAGTGGATTCAGTCTAGGTATAAGGAATTAATTGTTTACAGTGAGGATGTTGAAACACTGGAACTGTTTGCCCACAGAATTGGTAGATGGTAGAGGCACCATCCAAGGAAACAGAGTCAGACTGAATGAGGCTCTGAACAATTTGGTCTAGTTGAAGATGTCCCTGTTCATTGCAGGGTGGAGATGCACTAGATGATCTTTAAAGATCCCTTCCAACAGAAATTCTTCTATGATTCTAGATAGTGTGGGACCCAAGAGGGATTGTGAATGGTTTCAGTAAGACAAACAGAACAGTCACGGTGAGGAAATCTGCTTGACTTTAAAAAAACAGTGCAGTCCTAGTGAGTACCTGTAAGTAGACTAACTGCATGAAAATATAACACTATTTCTGTGTTTTTCTCATGTTTAATCAACAGTATGTAAAAAGAGACTATAGAAAATTATTCTCTTGCAACGGTCAAAAAACCTAGGAGGTGTGTCCCAAGTAAAGTCTTTAACCCAAGCCTTCCACTTTGTGCTTCTCATCACAGTGTGCTTGTCATGTTCCTTGTCAAAGGCTTGCACACCAGAGACCTTTCTACACTCCTGAGCCTGCTGGGCAAGATTGTCTCTCCTAATGTACAGAGAATCATTTTCACAGAGCTGAACCTTTAGTTAGTAAGGGTGTGTTTGAGCAAAGTACCAGTGTGATGGCGAAGAAAGATTGCATCTGTTTCTCTGTTGTTATGTTCTGATATCTGACCTATTTCTCCCCAAAGGCAAATCTTCCATCTGCCAGCCCAGCCTCTGTGCTTTGCAGTGGTTGTAGAAGGAACAGATGTGTGACCCCTCAAGTGACTGTGCTTGTGCCATCTTACACTGCTTGATGCTTGACAGCTGAGTAGCAGTTCAGGGTATAGCAAACAGGCTGGGACTGCTTCTCCAAAGCAGTGGGCCCTGGTAGAGCCAAAGGCTCACAGACCATGCACTGACTGCTCGGGTTATCCTGTTGAAGCTGAGGTGGAAGGGAGGAATTGCCACAGCTGGTTTTCACATACCTTCCTTTGCCATCCACTTTCATTCATTCATTCTGAGAGAGCACTCAAGGAATTCCTTCATCACTCATGCTCTGCGATTGTTTTCCTCATAGTAATGCTGCAGGATTCCATTTGTTCATTAAGCTGAGGTCCCGAAATGAGAAGCCTTTTTAGCAGACATTAACATATGTGACATTGTGGATTTGCATGTTAATGCACTGTGAAAGCGTGGGAATGGCACGGCAGAGAGCCATCCCCTGAACTGGCTGAGGGTTGTTGCTGGTGTGCTTTGCATGCCTTAGGGTATTAGAGCTCTCAGATGCTTGAGGAATGCAAGATGTCAAGTGTCCCGGGAAACTGGCAGTCCCCTTCTGTGGATTTATCATGGTGATTTCCAGCTGCTGTTTGCATTAGGAAAGAACCAGTCAGAAATGCTGGAGCTTTCAAAGTGGAAGCAACATAGAGTAGAGCCAGCCTTCTTAATGACACAAGTACAAGTACAGGGAGTTTGCTGCAAAAATAAATGCTTCTGGGTGGAAGGGCACAGTTAGTTCCCAATAGTTGTGATGCTGAAATGAAGTTCCAGAAAACATAGAACTGACTTAATGTTGCACTAACAGAACAGCTGTCACTTTCTGGTTGAAAATTGCTACAGAAAATGTCAACTAATGGCAATTTTTTTCCCCCTAGCTCCTTTTATGTGTGAAGTTAATGATATCTGCCAAAATCCTGGCTCATGTAATCAGCAGCAATACTTACATTGCTTTCTGTTTGGTTGAAAAATTGAACTTTTTACAGGTAACTTCTGCAAATACTCAGAGGGCTCTGCAGGTAAAAGCCTGGTTTTCCCTACTCACCACTACCTGGATGAGCTCATTAGAACAGCTGGACTGGAGCTAATGTTTTGCATTTCTGGAATTTTTTTCATTACAAGTGCACTTACAGTCCTATTGGAGAAGTGGGATGCCTCAGTCATTCTGGTGCTAATGTTTTTGGGTTGAATTGTACTGCTGCAGCTTCATTTCACAGTGCTGTAGTGTAGCCCAATTTAAAATCTGCAAGGCAAAACAAAACTGGCACTGTAGTTCCAGTAACTGTCAGCTGGACGAGCTTAGCTAGGTCCTCACAACTGTTTGCAGAAATTAGTGGGAAGGGCAAGGGTATGTGGAACATTTAGTCTTCTATAATCTAAAGCTTCGGAATTTAGTACGCTTGTTTTGGATTAATAGATGCTATATAATAGAGGACTAGTTTTCATCCAGAGGCTTACTCTACAGTGATGGACTGTGTTTATGTGGCTAATCATATCATAAAATCTGTTTCCTACAGCATTTCTGTAGATGCAGTTGCCTTCCCAGATGGGTTCTAACCAATTTGTACAGGTATTTCTAATAAGCTGTCTTCAGGCAAGGAAAAACACCATCAAGATTTTGCAAAGGGCAGTGCAAAACAGCTGTGGATGATACCAAACTATCAGGTAAATAACATTCCTTTAGGGTTTCAAATGGTGATCTATAACTTATCCTATCAGAATCTGCTCCAACTCCCCAAAATGTTCCAGAGAAGTGCAACTCTTAGCACTGAGAGAATGTTACTAACAAGAATGACTCGTTAGCAATGGATATGATTCCAGCTTTCATGGTTAAAATGCAAATTATTATGGATAAATGAAAAGCCACCTTTGTGCTCTGGAATATGCCTGATGACAGACAAAGTCACTCCTGAAAAACAGCACTTTCTTTTTCTGGTTAGTTTTGGAAGCTGTTACCATGTGCTTCGGGAGCTACAGGTGTGTTGTGTTTGTAGAGTACTTAGGCAATAATATTAAGCCTCTATCACTCACTGATTACCTTCAACATCTTTAACCTTCAAAGTGCACAAGTGTAACAAGTCCAGAGTGCTCTACAAAGCAGGGCAGAAGCATCAGCTGGAGGTGGTTATGTATTTTGGAGCTGATATTCTTATTTTTATTAGTGTTTTTTTGCTTCCTTTTAGTTGCTTTGAGATTTACTGCACAAAAACCTGCTGAGTGCCCAATATATGACTGGCCAATAGTCATGCATTCTTTGAAAAGATTGGAAATGAAGCTGTAGCCTTTCTTGCAATGCCTGTATTTTGTAGGAAGTTAATTAAAAGGGGCTAAATATTTGCACATCCTTGGCAATATCAGTGTGTTCTATATGCAGCATAAGCATTTCTGCGTGTTCTTACTTTCTGAAGTAAAAACTCTAAATGTGGGTTCTTAAGTTTGTCTATCTTGCTACATTATTCTAAATAAGAAACTATGCTTGTTTACCTGCCAAATCAGAGTAATTATTGTGCAGTTTCCAGCTTTGGTGTAACAACAGAGTGTATTGCATCTATTGATAAAGGTCTGTTTGTAAATTTTTAGTATTCACAGTGTTTTCTAGATTCAGTAGAATTGCCCCTTTTAATCCTCATAACTTCCTTTATTATCAAAGCCTAAGAATGAGTTACTAAGGATTTATTTCCAGCTTTTCAGTATTTACACCTTTCTACTGAAATATGTGGAAAGCCCTATAGCAAAAACCTACAGCAGAAAACTACCATGGATGTCAAAAAATTGTAATGCATATAACATTACTGTGAAATAGAACATCATTATCCCAAGAGTAAAGAGTAAGCAGCCTATGCTAAGGCAAATGCACAGTCAACTATGCAGATTGAAAGTTTAGTACCATTTATTACTGTGTTTTCTGCAGTAATTTGTAAGCTATTGAGAAAAGCTTTACTGTCTACCAAGAGTAGATGCAGTGAATAAATCAAACATTATATTTTCAATCTGTTGTGGAATTTATTGTTGCAGAGCCAGACCTGAACATCTGCTTGCACTGTAGAGTGATGTGAGTTTTATTCATGAGGCTGGCAAATTTTGTACTGGCCAGACTTGTATTAGAAAGGTAACTTTTTTGGCAGTAAAATGATTTTCCTTCTCAAGATGCCCCTCTGTGCTGCAGGATGTTAATAGCAATAGATAAGCACCTATCTGGT